CACTCTGAGATCCTTCAGGCCTGCCCCGAACGGAGAAGGACTTTCCTGAGCCGCCGCGGGCTTGGCGTCGTAGGGATTCATCTCTCAGGGCCCACCTTACTTATTCAGAGGCATACCCAAAGGCTCCATGTACCTTTATAGTCCCCTAAGGGTCCATGTACCCAAATAGTATGTACTTTGGCCTTAATGTAGTCCCTATATAGGTACTTTAGGGCCAATGTTCTACTATTTGGGTACATGGACCCTTAGGGGTCGATACTTAGGCCTTAAATTGGTCCCTATGTAGAGTACTTTATGGCGTAAGTATCTACTATAGAGCTACATGGAGCCTTTGGGATAGCGGTCCACATCTGCTTCCCTCCAACGAAGCGATCCGGTGCTGGTGACAACTCATGTCATGAAAATGAGGACCAGCTCCATAAATTACATGTTTTGCCACCGCTATATGCGGCAGTAGACCCTAGAACGCAGAACCCTACATCCTATCCTAACCCGATACGGGCAGCCCTAAACACAGACCCGAAACCGTCATTCACGGTCGCTGAACCTTACGATAGGTCACAACACCTAGCGGACCAAGCAAAAACTGAATGAATCCGACATAATTCGTCCTCCCTGAGGGTCCAAAGGCACTAACATTTAAGGTTCTACCGGGTAGTACCACGTTGAGGATGTTCCATAGGATAAATCCATCCTGAAGGAAGACTCAATGTAAACGACATGGCTTGCTGGAAATGCTGCAACTTGATCGGCCGTTTGTTTTCTGATGCTCATGCAATCGTCGTCCGTCATGACCATTTGACCTTAACTATGCTGCTTCTGATTGCAGTTTGCAAGTCACAATAATTAAGACGAGGCACGAATTTGTGAAACGTCCTCGGCCTTCTCACGGCACATCCGGAAACCTCAGCTTCTTTTGAGTAAGTACGAAACCGAACCAAGCTCAGCTCCTGAATTTTTGACGAGAAACTGGCTGAAAACTCGCTGAAGAAAACTCGTTTCCAGAGTGGCTCGATGGCAAGCCCGTGCTAGAGCTTTGCATGTCGACATGTAGGACTCGTCCCTGAAGGTATGGGAATATTTTGGATTGTGTCCTTGGCTAGCTCATGTACTGTTCAACAGAACCCCCAGCATCAGTACAAAAAATGGTTAATTAGCTAGTTCATCCATGCAGCCATCCATCCAAGCCATGTGCACAATCTCCTGCATTGCCTCGGGTCAGAAATTGGAACACAATCGGGATAATCATGTACGTATGTCTCATGCACAATAATTAAGTCTAGCAGCGTGCATTTTGGGTCTGAGGAGCCACAGCAAATCCCCCGTACGTGCAGCTTGCTTTGCAAGTGCAGCATATGCCACACCGAACTTGTCCTCGATCAGAAGGTTTTCCAGAAAACAGCAATCATGAGAGCTATAGGCGACTAGCACAGGAAACACAAACAACATGAAAACCAATCGTTCTGAAATGCATCGAATGTCGGATGCCTCCACGAGGCCATTTCGCTCCTCCATTTGCATATACTTCCCATATCTTTCCATCCTGTTGAAGAATTCGGCGAGCCAATACCTGAATGCTTGGAGCGGGCAGTCGAGCGAACAAATGCATGCAATCGCTTCGAAATTTTCGCGGGGCCGCACTGCTTTGACCATGGTCTTCATGTTGTCGCTCCGAAGCTCCGGACGGTCCCTGTAGATCTGAAGCACACGGTGGGCCAGCCAAGCAGTCACCACCCGGGCCTAAGCTGTGAATCATAGGCGCTATGCTACCAGCAGTTGTACACTGTATGCATCCAGGCAACATTGTGTCCTTTCATACTGAGTTCAGCATAACCGGTCGCGGAATCCCGCATGTTCGATGGCTTGAACTCCGGCTGGGTGTGCCTCAGCGAAACAGCTCCGATCAATCTAGAGGACCCCTGTAACGAAATGCGTGCAACTTAGAAGCTCAAGTTTGTGTTCACGGGTCCACGAAACGAAATCTTCGTATGCCATGGCCAGGCGTGCAGACGGTACCTCCTTCATTCTCGTGCCCGGCGGAGCCATCCATATGTCCTGAGTTATGTTTACAAAACATAGGGACATAACCGTACATGTACATGCATAACATGACATGCGACCTCCAGCTTCAGCAACTCCAGAATCGTTGACCCGGCGGTCCAGAGGCACAGCCCCAAATTCAGAGTATGAAGGGTGCAGAATTTGAGGATCGAATGGTGAAAGCCATGCACCTTAAGGAGGTGGCCTTAGATGCAATGCTCATGATTGTTACAATATCTTACCAAGTTGACCAACATATATTACAATACTCCAAACCCTGCTTCTCAGTACAGCATCATTTCTCTCCACGAAAAGGCTTGCACACAGCTTCAAACTCCGAAAGATTTCGGCGTCGTTGAAACGGCACCTGCGAGGGAAAGTGCAGGTAGTCGCTGTCCGTAGCATGACAGTGGTGGCAAAGCGAAGAGCAATTGTAGCCTGCCCCAAGGTTGAACAATTCCTGGATGGAGGTTTCAGCACATTTGGGTTAGGGAGTATGTAGGGCATCTGTATGTAGAATTAAAATCTAAAGCTTGGTGTTAGTTATGTAATTATATGTGTGTAACATAAGGGTTAATGGACATTAGCCTCCTAATGCTCATGATTGCAGACAAGAAACTTTGAAGAACTTCCAATCCGACCGGACCTCGCAGAGCCCAGCCCTGGGGAAGGTGTGGTAGTCGGATCCGCAGGGTTCATCAGGGTCGCAGCCGATATCTTCTGGTCGAAGAGTGTCTGGTTCAAGGTGCAGTGGAGCACGGCCGAGGAAGCAAAAGTTGAACGAAGCCGCTATCTAGGTCGGGGCGAGCAGGGTAGCAATCTCGAACACAGTTTTCCCGAGCTCAATCAAAGCAAGGCACTGGGCGAAGATAAGCTTGCAGAGTTCCAAACCCTGTGCTCAGAGCCTGAGTTTAGGGTTTAAGGTTTTGGGGTTATTTAAGGTTTAGGATTTATATCTTGAGTTTGGAGTCAACATATGTTGGGGAGTAGGTGCCTGCACTATAGGCCAAGTTGCAAGTCTGATGACAACCAACGGAAAGCGATCTTGCACAGCATCCAGCATAAAGTTCATTGAAATAACAATGATTTTAGCACCATTGTCCAAGTACCTGGCGTCGTCCCCATGCAAGCCCAGCGGCAAGCCATTCGGCGGTGCCATCGGCGGCCAAGCTATCTCGCTACTTGTTTGCGCATGAAAGTGGTCCCAGAAGTTCCTCAATGCAGCGGGTGGGTTTAATCTTGTTAGTCGTCCTTCCTGATGCAGAGCATTGAGTATGTCGTGGGGCAGCACGATTGGCATTTGCCTGAGGTTGTTCAGGCTCACACGAATCGAAGCTAAGAAAACTTAACTCGAACGGCATGGTATGCATGAGACAGGAGTCTTGTCCAGCACTTCCCAGGAGCCGCGAATCTTCTTTCGCACAGGCACGGTCACCGATCTGATGTTCACCTGACAGCAGTGGCCAATGTAGCAGTGCATGCATGATCAAGTTAGCCGATCGCAATTCATAACATCTCTGGGCTGCAAACTTTGCAAGACTGCGACCGTCGCATGATATCTCGCTCGATGTTCGAAACATATTCGCCACTTTTACCAGCAGTGGCCATCGACGACAACCCACGGCCAGGCACCACATTCTGCGATCGATAATCCTGCCGTGCATTTCTGAAGCTCGGCGCAAATGTGTAATTTATTTATCGGTGACACATCCCAGTCCTGAAGTGCAGCATAAGCCAGCTTCTGTGCAGCAGTGTAGCTCAGCTCCTGTGAATAAGAACCCCTCATCGCCCTGACCCTCGCCTTAAGTTATTCCTATATATTTGAACCCATACTTATAAAGGAATCTTATTTATGCGGGTATAGTAGGACATACATATATACGGGGTTTAGGGTTTAAGCCCCAGGCTACGGTGGATAGTTACAAGGCCATTTTAGGTTCGGGGTTTTCATGATTAATGGGTTTATTGAGGCTTCGGCTTTGGGCTATGGGGCATAGTTTCAACTCCAGTCCCCGGCACAGATCATGGTTCGTAGCCTTTTGTGCAGATAGCTTCCACCAGAGCCAGCATTTGGCCTTTCTCCTGCGAGGGATTTGCGGACATGTCATGATCATCATATGTGTGCCTCTTGCCATTCGCACCCAAGACACATGATATGCACTTCAATTGTTTTCTCTCTCGCCTCAAGCTTTTGAGACTGAACATCTGCAGGATCCCCCGCATCGTGTGATCACAACATCTGGATTTGAGCACTTGCAGGCCCTTCATGTACGAATATCTTGAGCATACACCAAACTCGCCGTGAGGTGCATGCAAAAAAACCCTGGCTTGCAGCTGCAGGACTAAGGCCGTCCACTGCCCTAGCTATACTGTAGACCACATGCATTGAACATGAAAGCTCTGGCATAGAGTGCATAGTACTCGCATGTATGCAGCGGCGGCCACTGCAGCTTGCCAACATGTGTAGTGTCACACATCAGCAGATCATCGGCCCTTTAGCGAGGGTCGAGTGCTCCCTCGCACTCCACCTCACTGTAGCTTCGCCGATGACTTGGCTTTTGGCATCTTTTTTGGGGCCGGCTCGACCTGATGGTCAAGATAAACAGCACATGACTATCAGAACATGTTTCCACTGAAGCTATCATTCCCACCAAGAAACATAGAGAGTCTTGATGGCCTTGATCGCGACCCCATAGCTGTCAATGGCTTTGGCCAAATCCTCCATCAACGGCTTCAGCACAGCCTCTTCTTTAGCACCTTCGACACACTTCATATCCAAGGCGTCCGTCTTCTGCTGCACCGGGGCGATGTGGAAATCAATCTGGCTCAAGTAGCCCTCGGCCATCATCTGGGACCTGGCTGTAACACTATTTTAACTTCGGCTCTAGGGGCAAAATAGTATTAGATTCCATTACTTTAGGGTTGGGGTTTGGATGATAAGTAGAGCTAATCTATGATCTACATGTAGATATCGATGACGGGGTTTGTGTTTGGAATGGTTCAAGGCTTGGGGCATTGCCTCGAATGTTTGGGGTCTGGGGTTGGCATAAAGAGTTTCGGGCTTGCTGGTTAAGACACGATCATGGGCTTGGGGATGGCATGTTAAGTTTATTAGTACTATAGGGTTGGCAAAGCGTTCGGGTTTGCACTTATTTTTGGGGGGTTTGTACTGTACGTTCAGGGTTTAGGGTTTAGGCTTATACATAGGGGTTTAAGGTTAGGCCTTGGGCTTTAGGGTTTAGGCCTTGGGGTTTAG